CACACACACACACACACACACACACACACACACACGTTAGTTCTCTAATTAAGGATTCCCTGTGAGTTACAAGTTTCCCACTCTTGCTGTTGGGAACAGATAGCATTCCCAGCCTTATGTGAGCATTGGGCACTGTATTTACTAGCCTATAGCTCTGCAGGCTAGAATTCCATATGGGTTCTCTGCTCAGTGTATCACAAGGCTGAAAAATAAAGTGTTAGTCTGAATACTCATGTGGAGGCTCAGGGAGTAAATGCACTTCAAAGTTCATTCTTACTGTTGTCAAAATTCAGCCCCTTGTAGCTACAGGACTAAGAGGACTGTTTCCTTTGCCACCCTCACCTCCTGATTGCTACCTGCATTCCTTGCCATGTGGCCCCCTCCACCTTCAAGGCAGCAATGGTGCATCAAATCCTTCTTCCCATTCTTTGAATCTGGCTTCGGTCTCCAACCCCCAGACCCCCCAGACCCCGATTTAAAGAGTTCTCCATTCCTTAAAGGCAAAAGCTTAACGTAACATAATCACGAGAATAAAATCCACATTCACAATCTTGGGGATTATGCAGGCAGGGCAGGTCCTGTGCTGAGAAAGAGAGCTCTGGTCTCTCTTCCTCTTCTAAGAACACTAATCATAGCAAATCAAGGTCCTACCCTTATGAGGTCACTTAATTACTTCCATAAAGCCTCCATCACCAATACATTCACACTGGGGGTCAGGGCTTCAACATATGAATGGGGGAGGGGCACAAACATTCATTCTATTATGAGGACCATCTTAAATCCTGGTTACCACAGCTACTACTCCTTCTAAAGAGGCAGCTCTTTCCTGGCTTTGGATTTCCTTGCTAATACTCAAGAAGTCTTCCTGCAGATCTCCAGAATTCTTTGTCACACAGACTCCCCTGGCCTCCCTGGCATCTCTGGATTCCTGGCAATAATGTCCTCAAGTCTGGGACACCACTGGGCTCTGCCAGGGTTCCCCTCCTTACACTGGGATCTTCTCCAAGTGGTGAGCTGGGACAATTGGAGGGATCATCCCTTTGTTTCCTGTCTTTTGGGAATTACTTTCCTTCACTGACTGACTTCCACTGAGAGAATGATGTCCAACATCTTGAGAGCCGAGGTTTCATATACATTGTCCAGTTTTTCAGTTGTTTCAAGTGAGAGGGTAACTACCATCTCTGTTTACTCCATCTTGGCTGGAAGTAGAAGCCCTTGTTGCTGCTGGGTTTTTTAATAGTTTTATATTAAAGGTTGGATCTCTAACCAATAACTTAATTAGGCGTATTTCTGAGATTTCTAGAATTTTGTGTTGCCTGGTGTTCTGCAACTTAATTTCCTCTCAACACTGTGTTCCTGATTCGTTATATTGTTCTACAACAGTTATCAAATCCCTTTCACTACAGTACATTCTGTTCTATTACAACACCATGGCTTATTTATCTGTCTACTGCTGATGAACACCTGGGTCATTTCCAGATTTTTCTATCTTGAAACATGCTTCTTTGAAGATTCTTGTACATGTTTCTTGGGGTTTACACACAAACGTCCTTACTGTACACTTAAGAGTGGAACATCTGCCATAGGGATCCATATTTTCAACTTCATTTGATAATGGCACACTGGTTTCCAAAGTGAATGTGCACGTTTACATCATCATTAGCTGCTTTATATTCTCAACCAAACTTGATAATGTCAGATCTATTTTTTTTTTTTGATACTGAAGGTCTAACATGGTATATCACAGCAGTTTTAATTTCCATGTCACTGATAAATAGTGAGGCTGAGCATGTTCTCACATTTATTAGCCCTTTGACTTCCTCCTCTATCAGAACTTGAGTTCAAGTTTTGTGCCCACTTTTCTTATTTGATATTTCTGCATTTTTTAAATTCTCTTCAGAGCAATTATTAAGTGTATACACTGTTTTGAAAAATGGCAATACCAATAAGTTCTTCATTTAAAAAATCTGGGTTTATGGCCAATAAAATTTTTACACATCTCATTTTTTAAAAGTTATACTATATGTTTTTTAAACTGGAGAACACATGGTTTAGTTTTTTTTTTTTTACTTAAGAAGCCTCATCTTCATAAAGTTAGCAAGCCAAAGAAATAATTACCCATTTCCATTGAAAAGTATTTCTTCTATTGTTTGAAGCTTCCTAAATAGGTAGTGTCTTTCCTGATGCCAAAGTAACGAGATGAGCAAAATGACTTTAATAAATAATTGTACAAAAGGTTATTCAATCATCCATGGCATAAAAGCAACACATGACCAAACTTGCAAGAGCAGAGCCCTCACTTTCAGAACAATACAGCTTCAGCTGTTGTTTCAAGTACAGACTAGGAAGAATGTTTTACATTGGACAAAACAAAGGAAAAAAAAATTCCACTGAAACAAATTTTTAATTTAAAAAACCCCTCTCCATGATTTTGTATAGAGTGTATGTATTGTATAACAAGAGCATACATTCTGCATCAGAGAACCCCAGGAATTTCTTTACATTCTGGTGAACCATCAGCATTAACACCTTCAGGGATTGTACTGGGTTAAAAAGATAAGACATACACCTACCCCATGGACAGGGTGAACTGTCTTGCTGCCTACAAGCTGCCATGTGGTCACGTTTGGAGTTATCTGCAAAAAGAAAAGAGAGTTAAGAGAGAACAAAACAGTTTTTAAGAGTAGGAACTCCTGGGGTAGCTGGGTGGCTTACTGGGTTAAGTGATCGACTTCAGCTCAGGTCATGATCTCACAGCTTGTGAGTTCGAGCCCCGTGGTGGGCTCTGTGCTGATAGCTCAGAGCCTGGAGCCTACTTAGATTCTGTGTCTCCCCCTCTCTCTGTCCGTACCCTGCTTGCACTCTATTTTTCTCTCTCTCAAAAATAAACAAACATTAAAAAAAAAAAAAAAAAAAAAAGAGCAGGAACTTCCTCCACTGGCTGTTACAGCAGGTAAGTGCAATTCACAGAGTTAAGACCACAGGCTCCTCGGGCAGAAGAGGCCCCAGGTGGAAGCTACTCTTGCTGTCTGTCACCTGTCAGTGTGCACAGCTGCCAGGAGCTGATCAGTCCAACTGAAGGAGGGCCAGCTCCCTTCACTCACCTGAATGGCCAATGCCCAAGCCCCCAGTCTCCTTAGCCCCTTGCCCCTCCAGGACCCATGGCTCTTCTCCTCGCTCCAGCTGACAGATCACGTTGGGCTTTGATCCTGGAAGTCCTGCTCATGGGGAAGGAAGGCCTTTTGTCAGCACAACATCTGTGAACACCCCTACCCCACCTGAGTGACCTGTAGGCATGAGACAGACAGGTGTGATGTCCCTCTACAGCTGTAACACCTGGAGGCAACCCCAAACCCCCCACCCCAGGTCCCTGCCCTTGGCCAAGCACAGAGACACAGAAGACGCCTGCTGAGGGGCCATACCCAGTGACACCACGTTGCCATAAGTCTCCATCATCACGTGTCGGTAGAGGCCCCGCTGAGCAGGGCCCAGGCGGTCCCACTCCTCCTGGGAGAGGAGCACAGCCACATCCTCAAAGGTCACCTTGGCCTGGAATGACAGGGGCTGCTGAAGGTTGGATTGAGTCTCCATGTCTGAGATGGAGCAATGTGGGTGGGGGGGAGAGGAGATGCCCTAGGTCAGGGGGGAGGGAAAACACATGCGAGCAGATGGGTGGCATCAGGAAGGGGCCACATTGTTCAGGAGATACAGTGACACTCAGGCTGTCACCCAGAACCCTGGGCATGGGAGGGTTGTGAGGAAATCCAGGGGTGCAACAAAGGCCCTGGAGGCAGCTCACTTGGGGTCCTGCTGGTGGTGGTAAGAGCCTGGCTGCTGCCATCGCGTGATCCCTTGAGGTTTCCAAGGAAGGTGGAAGTCAGAGGAGCCTGTGGGGCTGAGGAAGAGGAGGGAGCACATGAGGGGCCCACCCTTGCCCCCACAGACCCTGAGTTCTGAGGGAGTCCAGCCCCCACTGTGAACTCTTCCCATGGGCCTAGCCACAAGGTTTTGCTCTCCAGACCTGGGGTCTTTATGATCAGCTAGGGAGCTAGCAAGGACTCTGAGGCACCTGCTCAGGCCCACAGTCTAGGCACAAGGGCCCATGCCAGAGCATTCACGTAGGTGTGAAATGTTCATCAGGTCTGGTGTGGGTGCCAGGCCAGGCTGCCTCCACAGACAATCTCCCAGTGAAGACAGGCTTTCCTCAAGGTCCACACTCCTGTGGGGGCCTCACCCCAGGTCCGGCATGCTTGGCTTGACTGTAACTCCTGTGGCCCCACTGACGCCTCAGTCTCATGTGGTTGTGCCCCAGTTGCCCTGATGCTCCACTGAGGCTGGGGTCATCAGCCTGGTGGTGGCTCCACCAGGGACTGGGAACGGAGGCAGGACAAATGGTTGATTCTGGAGGACTAAGTACAGAGTCACCCAGGGATTTGGTCTGAACACCCGATGTGGAGGCCTGGGGGTGAGCGGGTTCTGGGGGCTTATCAGGCTAAATTAAGCTGAGATGTCTATCATACTCAAAATACGGGGGGAAAAAAAGGGGGACCAAAGGCTCTCCTAATGGGGGAATGGGGTTCACATCTTTTGGAGTGCCAAAGGGTGTCTATAACAGGGACACAGAAGCCAAGTGGGCAGATCACTCTAGGAAAAATGGTACAAGATGGTGATCAACCTTCTCATGCATGCAGCTCAGCAGGTACCTCAACAAACAGGGTGCTTCATCTGTTTGTTTGATTTCTTTGTAGAATATCAGATGTATGTGTAAGTTTGCATGGACAACTTTTGGGAAGACAAATCCTGAACTCCCAACTGCAGCTGCCTCTGCGGAACACAATGGTAGACTTATTCATCAAGAATGTCCATTCCCCCCAAATCTGTGTGTGCTTGTGTCAGTGCAACTCTAATTAGGATTCCAACAGGTGCCTTTTAAAGGAGTAAAACTACCTTGAATTCACATGAACGATAGATGGTGGATAACAGATTAAGAATAAAATTTGAAAAAAATGGGTGTGAGGCAGGGTGGGCCTGCCTCACCAGATCTCAGAACAAAGATGAGGAAGCCATTTCCACCACCCACTCCACCTCCTGCCCTCTTGGCAGTGTATCCAACACCCACATCCACTCGACCAGCTCACAGACTTGCCATCTCTCATTGTCAGTCATCTTCCCCATGGTCTCGTCCAGATACCTATCCATGAGAGGTCTCCGTACCCCCACCCCACCAGAAAGTGGCCCTGGTCAGGGTCTCCCATGACTTCCATGTGGTCAGATCCTTGCCCCCTGTTGACAGGATGACACTGGTCTCTTGTGCTCCTGCAAGTTGGTCTCTACCAAGTCTCCTGGACATTGCTCCCTCAGCCAAGGCCTCCAGCCATCCTCACCTGTTTGAGAATTTGACCTTCATGTATAATACAGCTCTGGTCCTATGGGAACCTGGCAGAAGTAGTCATTGGGACTATGGCCCCACTGCAACTAGGCCAGGATCCAACGATAAACACCAATAGGAACCTCATTCAGGGCCTTCCCAGTGGGTACAGATGACACAGGAGGCATGTTGCACATGTGGCCATAAGGCCTTAAGCCAGACCAACTCCTGCTCCTGCCCGTGCTTCTTCCTGCCCCACATCCTGCACATATCTGGCACTGGCCATGGTTATCCTACAAGCCTGAATGTTCAGTGGAGCCTAGGGTCTCCTTTTTGGTGCAGTTGAACTGGCAATCCCCTTCCCTCCAACTCAACATCTTCATGGAGATGTTCTTTGGCATCTCAGATACTTAACATCTAACACTAGGCTCCTATTTCTGCCCCCAGCTTGGTCTGGGCACCTCTACCCAAGACCTGATCCTGAAACTACCTTTCCTCCTCATTCTTTCACAGTCTACTCCAAATCCACTCTCCTAGTGCACCCAGAACCTGGCCCTGTTACAGCAGGGTCATGCATCTGTCTTCCATGGGAATAGCGACTGTCCTTGGCTTCAACTAACATCCTGGCCCCTCTATGGCTATGAGGCTGCTCAGAACCCTGCTTGAACCTCCCCTCTGCCAGGGAGGCTCCCTCCCTTTCGCTGGTGCTTGGCCACATCACCTTCTCATTGAGGCCCTTCCTGACCCCTTATCTTGAGGGCCTCTGCCTTGCCCAGTCCTCCTTCTCCCTTCCTGTCTCAGCAAAGCAGCCATCAGGCCAATGTTTGCTGAGTAAGTGAATGAAATTAAAAAATCAACGACACCATACTCTACACCCTGTCTCAGAAAAGCCACCTAACAGTTATGTAGATGAACCAGACATGCCATTAGACAGTGGGAACTCCGCTGGAATGGATGAGGATGGTGTGACTGCCAACCCACAGTCCTTCCACACACAGGCCACAGACCCACTAAGAGAAAGATTTAGGTTGTGCTAGATAGACGACAGGGAAATGACACCGTGGGACACAGAGAGCATGTCCAAAATGTTCCTCTTTCAGAAACAATGACTCCAGGGCCATGAAGGGTATGTGTGTGCTTTGTCCTCACCCGTAAAACAGGAAGATCACATCCCTCCTCTGTGGGCCTCAAGAGGAGACAGTGCTCAGAACCACTGGGCGCAGAGTCAGATGCCGCTGGACCAAGTGTTATCTCATTCGATTAGACTAACTCCAAACAACCAGGCTGTCAACACGAGTGAGAAACAGAGGTGGGTGGAGAGGGCAAAGGAAAAGATTCCTACCTGGCGGGGGGAGTCCTAGAAAAGCACAAAAACAAAGGATCTCTACCTAGATGACCTTCACACATTACCAAGTTAAAAAAAAAAAGCATATCACATAGTATGTGTTACACTATCACACAGTATTTTTACTACGATCTGAAGATTTGTGTCCTTTCAACATTCATATGGTGAAATCCTAATGCCCAGTAGGATGGTGTTAGGAGGTGAGGCCTTTGGGAAGTGCTTAGGTCATGAGTCTGGAGTCCTCATGATGGGATTAGTGCCCTTGTAAGAAGAGACTCCCACAGAGCTTTCTCACTCCTTCCACCATGTGAGGTCACAGCAAGAAGTCTGCAACCTGAAGAGGGCCTTCCCCTGACCATGCTGGCACCCTAATTTGGACTTCCAGCCTCTAGAACTTTGAGAAATGTCTGTTGTTTTATAGGCTACCCAGTCTACAGTAATTTGTTCTGGAAGCCCGAGGAACTAAGATGACTGTATTCTTTTGTTTTTTAAAAAATTTTTTTAATGTTTATTTATTTCTGACAGAGAGAGAGCGCATCAGCAGAGGAGGGGCAAGACAGAGGGAGACACAGAATATGAAGCAGGCTCCAACCTGTCAGCACAGAGCCCGACGCGGGGCTCAAACTCACGGACCGCGAGATCACGACCTGAGCCAAAGTTGGATGCTCAGCCGACTGAGCCACCCAGGCGCCCCGACTGTATTCTGATTAAAAAACAAACAAAAAAAACCCAAAATAAACACAAGAAGTGATACTAATTTTGAACAAGCCTGTGACTTCAAGCAAAGACGTACAAAACACTGTGCATCTCAAAACCAACAACTGTCAGGCAGGAAAACAGAGTCATCCAGGGTACCCAAACTGGCTTTTAACAAGCCGCCCTCTCCCCAACCCTGACCTCCATGATTCTGATGCCCTGTGAGATGCTCTGTGAGAAAAACACAGTTTAGACAAGAAGAGAGAACAGGTGGGCACGACAAGTCCTGTTTGGATGACCCCCCAAGCCAGAATCACCACCACTGAGTCCCCTAACAGACTCTGAGCAAGGCCATGCCACACCCACAAAGGGGCAAGCACAAAGAGCACCGTCCATCCACCAATCACAGTCATTCTTCAGATGCAGGAATTCCATTTTTGGAAATCTCCTCAGGGAATAACCCAAACAAAACCAGAACAGATCCATGTTCTCAGCAGCCCTGGATGCTTAATGGGACAGAAGCCACACTGCAGTGAGACACTCAGCCAAACAGAATCTAGCTCTCATGATGACTGAGCAGCCAGCTACGTGGACAGGAACTAAAGAAGGGGCTGCAGAGATGCAAAGAGCTTAGAGTTTAAAGTTTACTAGTATTGTTTTGTTTTGTAAGCTAAGCTTTAGGAACTTATCACCCTTGTTGGAATCCCTGATAGATCTGATGTAAAAGAACACGCATGTCTGTCCAAAGAGCTCGCACACAGTGACAGGCTAGCATGGGCATACCAGACGTGCGTGGTCTGGGGTGAGAGGCTCCCAGGATCTTCTTCCCTCAGTCCTCACCATCCTCACCCACAGGCTTTCCTGGTGGAATGCCCTGCCCCACCTCCACGGTGGAAGCATCTTCACAAAGGGCAGCTCCAAGCCATTTGCGAACACAAAGCACAACCCTGCAATCTTCCATAGGGAATGATCAAGCATCCAAACCAACAGCTTTCTTATACACTGGCAACACCCAGTCAGAAAACGTATAGGGGGGAAAATTCTGTTCATAAATGGCAACAAGGAACAAGCTTAAAATGAACTTTAGAAATGTGATGTTAATTCTGCCCACCGTATCCACAAAACCAAGGTGCCTAGAACCGGTGGGCCTGGAGGAAAAGCAGTGGCTACCGAACGGGGCAGAGCAGGGCCAAGTCTGTATAAACAAATGAAGAACAGATGAGACAATTCAAATTGCTCAGGAAAGATGATTCAATAAATGGTGCGAAGACAAAATTTTTTAAATGCTTTAGGAAAAGCAAAATTAAGCCTTTACATAAAATTCAACAAATCTCCCAGAAAGTAGAGGGAGGCAAAGAGATTTAAACAAACAAACAAAAAAATTTGGCCAGAAAAAATTAGATCATCTCAGTCCAATAAATCCACTAGGCTAACTAATGAGTAAGAGTTGAAATTTTAGATCACATTTTAAGGACTTGAATACAAGTATAGATACATTTGTATTATTTTAGGTGGGAAGGGCTGTTCTAAGCAAAATAGCAAAAGCAGAAACCTGCTGGGCAGAGACTCCCACATTTGCTGCATGAAAATTAATACCTTATGCACATCAAAGCCACCAAATTCCAGAATGGGCCCAAAAACATGTAAGAATTTAATGCATGACAAAGTTGGTTTTCCAAATCAATGGAAAGATGAATTATTCAGTAGGTAGTGTTAGAAATAGCATAGAAGGAAAAAAATGAAGCTGGATTCCCAACTCACCCCACACCAAAATAAATTCCAGATGGATCCAGCATTGCACAAGTACCAGAGAAAAACAAGAGTCTATTTTAAAAATAATCTTGGCGTGGGGAAAGTCTTTTAAGACATAGCAAAGCTCAAAAGCCTTCGGAGTAAATATGTTACGATTAAAAACTTGAAATCTCTTCAAAAAACCCCAAACCAGAACAAAGCACCATAACTGGAGTCAAATGTCAGTTTGTGAAGAGTGTTTTCAACATATACGGAAAAGAGTATAAGCTGGCAGATCACAAAGGAAAAACAAAGGAAAACAAAAAAGGAAATACAAAGGCACACGAACAGTTTCAACCTCACCAGCCATCGGGGAACGGAAATTAAAACATTCATGTGACAACAATGCGGGGCGGGCGGTCTTAAGGCCCCAACCTCCCCCTCACTCCGCCTCCGAGTCCACCCTGCACACACCGGGTGTACAAAACCGATGGAACGCACCGCCACGAAGACGGTTTGCAAGTGAAAAATCTAACAAGTATCGACCGTTAGAGCATGGCCACCCCTCTGCCCCCCCGAGCTTCCCTTTTAGGTGAATAACAGAAAACAGCGCACGCAAAATCCAGAAAGGGTACAAAGGAAACCAGCCAGTGCTGCCTCTGCGCACACTGGCAGGCTGTTCCCAACGACGATTTCCAGTTTTCTATTTTTCTCACACGTTAACATTTTAAAAAATGCATGTTATTTTCTACTGAAATCTTAAAAAGCAAATAATAAACTAGGGAAATATTTGCAAACCATGTTAGAAAAGGTTGGTCTCGTTCACTAAAAAGGGGCTCTTACAAGGTAGTAAGGAGAAGAGCATGGATAGAAACATGGAGAAAGGATGTAAAATTAGGAAAGTACTTTGAGCCAACGAGATACCAACGCCGTTCGGACGCGGAGAAACGGCTTACTGCGAACGGCACAGGCGCTCCTGCCGCCGCGGGGTCCGGATGGGCTTCTCAGCCTCTGGTTCTGTATTTTGGGGAGACCTTGAGCGAGCCGGGGACTCGCGGGTCGCTGACCACCCTTCCCGGGGCAATCGCGCCACCGTTCTCTTCGCCGCGGCCCCGCCGCAAACCTCCACCTCCTGCCAGCGCTCGGCGTCCGCGGGGGAGGGGGCCCGGGAGGGTCGGAGGAGGGCGGTGAGGTGTCTCAGGGCCTGGGGGGGGGGGGGGGGGGGGGGGGCGGCGGGGATTCCGGGCGTGGCAGGGCCGGAGGGCTGAGGGCCCGGAGACTGGGTCGCAGGCAGCCTGGTGTGTGTCACGGGTAAGGGGAGAGGGTTCTGGGGCGTGGCAGGGGCCGAGGGGCGGAGGTCGGGAGAAGCCCGGGTGTGAGGAGCGGAGAGAGGACTGGGATGCGGCAAAACGCTGGCGGAGAGGGGGCTCAGAGTGGGGTCCGAGGAGGGGAAGGAGCCCACCGCACGCCCGCAGGAGGAACCCGGCAGGAGGGGCGGAAGCGGAGCGTGCCCGCGGGGAAGTGCCCTGTCCGTGAGGACGACACGGCTCCAGCGCGCGTGCTGGCAGAAGGGCCCGGGCGCCAGTGCCCACGCGCACCTCCAACTCACCTTCCACGCCGCAGCCTCACGCGCGAAGGGACGGACGCCCGCAACGCACTCAGACAAAGGGGACGCCCCGCCTGGTCTGCGCATCCGCCAATCCCTGGGGGCCCCGCCTCCTCAGTCCCCGCCCACGCCCCCGGTCACCACTCCTGGAGCGGACACCTCCCAGTCGTCCCCGCCTTCCCCGCCGGCGCCATTTTCCTGACTGACAGCGAGGCCGCTTTCTGCGGAGCCACCGAGAGGCGAGATCTCCCGCGCGCCTAGAGAGGCCACACCGCGCTCCGGCCTCGCATTTACCGCACTTCCGGCGGTCTTGTGGAAAGTTCTAGTGAAGCTTCCGAGCATCGGACCCACGGGCCACCTAGTGCCTGTAGAGTCGGGTTTCCCGCTTGTGTCCAGGCGGGTTCCTTTTCCGCTCCTAACCGGGTGCCACCCCCTCTGAACGTGCCTCCTCGTTGCTGTGCCCTGAGACCCGCCGAGGACCTAGCGGTGGTCGTCACGTGTGACAGTGACCGCCTCCTCAACCACCTGCACTGCTGTTCACAGACTTTTTTGGGGGGCGGCGGGGGGCCGTGAAGCCTCCGTCCGTGAGGGCGTTGCACGGTGCGGTAGCAACTCCCGGGAGAGGAGGCTGAGACAGCCACGGCTGGAATGCTTAGTCGTGTTCTAGAAAAACTAGAGCGGTGAGGGCTTTCTTGGAGGAGCGGTTGGGGAGCCGGAGGAAGAGTTGGCCATCTCGCCTTTTCTGATAAGCGACCCTGGGTTGGGAGTAGGACTCCCTAACTTCAGGCAGGGATGGGAAGAAAAATTAAGGAGGAGGGGACAGAGAGTCCCTCAACAGTGACACCCTTTCCTCTTTCCTTTTTCCTTTTAGCTTTTTATTATAGAAACTTTCAAAGATAGGCAAAGGTAGACAAAGTAGTGTAATGAACCCCACGTGTCCATCAAACAGTTGAAATGGGCAGTCTCTTCACCTATTTCTCTGGTTATTTCTTTCGTCAATCCCGTAGAGGAGGTCATTTTATATAATAATTATTCTCATATTTGTCTAAAAGATAAGGGCCCCTAAAAACGTAATTACAAAGCTATTATCACCCGTGAATGTTAATGATTATCCTTTATTATCAAATGTAGGAAACTTTTTTTAAATGTAAAAATACATCATGAGTTTACAGTGATATTTCAAATTTAGAGCTAGGTGGCTATTAATTTTTAAAATTTTATGTTTGTATCTTTTTTCCCCCTCATATTTAGAATCTTGGGGGGCGTCTAGGTGGCTCACTCAGTTGAGCATAGGACTCGTGGTTTCAGCTCAGGTCATGATCCCAGGGTGGCGGGATCCAGCCCTC